GTGACTCGTGTGGCCTGACGTCCCGTAGTCATGTGGTCACGTGACCCGTATTGGCACCAACCCTAAATGTCGAACGGGTAAAAGAGGCGAATCAGATCAAAAGAGCTCAAAACAGATGAAACAGGTTGATGTAAACATACTATACGCGTTCTGCGTTAATCGGCCTTATGGGAAGTACCAAGGAAAGTTTTGTTTTTACGTCTTGAAATTGCCGTTTGTATTTTTCACGATCAAAAAAGATATATTGTTCTCCTGAACATTGCTGTGTTTTCGAGCTGTTCTTGATTATACCCAGAAAAGCGGAGATGTGTCATTTTTATGTTACACAGCAACAATATATTGTTTACCACCACGAAACTTTTGTTTGTTTGTGTTTTTCTCCTTTCTCGTGTGCGGTTCTCAATCCGTAACGTAAGCCGATGTGCCAAATCTCGATTTGTGATTTATGTTTATTTCTCCGACCCGCTATGCGTATTTGGAAACGAGAACAACGAATTCCATCGAAGGGTATTAGTTGCTGTTCCGGGAAAACTGAATACCTGGTATATGCTTACAGGTGTGCCGCCTTTTCAATAATTCTTTGAGGTATTCATCGCAAGCCGGGTTAGACGCTGGTTTCGCCCGCCTGTATTCCGCGAACGTCTCTGGAAAAAATCAACGCGAAAACCATGAGATGGAAGTTTACTTGGCGGAATGTTTACTATTGTGAGGAATTGCATGTTCACACAGGCTAGCAGTATGATTGTCAGGATTACCTAACCAATTGCGAACTCACTACCTCCCATCTAAAAGCCTACATTTTTTTCCTTTTTTTCTGTCAACTGTGTTAAACGTTTGATAATATTCTTATAAAACGTCTTTTTTGTCATTTTATGCTTGTTTTTTAAGTTCAGGGACCAGGTCGCAATACCTGGCCCTTGGTCTCAAGAAAGAGTTTTTAAACAATCTACACATACATGCCTTTCCTATTCGCACAATTTATTTTTATATAATAACTTTGCTAATAATAACTTTGTTTACCTTCCAAGTCAACACTAACAAAGTTATGAACACGCTCACATTATATCTCTTCTGAATCGCCAGATGATGTTGTCAAAACCGCAAAGTATTGACTCTCCATGATCTTTAAAGCAAAAACTCGTAAACTTGAAAGAAAGTGTGTGTGTGTGTGTGTGCATTTAACACAATAATTATTTGGTATGTTACAAAGAAACGGCTATGTTAGTATGTTACTTCAGAAACAATAAGCGCCAAAAATAAAACAAAAAATACACCACGAATTAAAGAGGTTCTTTTCTTTATTATTCTTTTACTATCTGTTATCAACTAGCTCTCATTGATTTTGTTTAAATCGATCCTAAAAGTAATGAAGTATTTAAAATAATACGTACAAACGAGATAATACTATATACTGTAAAGAAGTTAGACATTTTTTAATATTTCAATGTACGAATTAAGTAGCTGACTGGAGCCCTTTTTTGATTTTAAGCCATATAGCGTCTATCGCTTTATTCTTTTCGATGACATCTCAATATGTCTTCGCGGAACTATGATGTAAATTTAATTACGTTGACGTCATCATCCTCGGACATTATGCCAGATATAATCGACCGATAAAACAAACAAAAGTTGGAAAAATACAGCAATACTGATGAATACAAGATTTCCACACGTCTTTCAATCATTGACCCACTTGATGGTTAAGGGTGATTTATAAACAAAAACAATTATTGGTACTCTTCTTAGAAGTGAACGCACGGTGACAGGACAATGGGAACGTGACTTTTCATCGGACTTACCATGTTTCATTTCTATGTCGATGTAGTGGAGTCTGCAGCTCTATTTGATGATGTTACCTTGCGCGGGTTGAAGAACACCCGTACATGCGCGGTTCGTTATTTGTTAAAGATAGCGAGTCGCATGCGAGGCTCGCTATATCTTATACAAATAGCACGCTTCCTTGTGAGCCAGGAAACAAAAACAATGCACAACAAGGACAGTGCCGTTTGCTTTCCTCTGGCTAACATGAGTCGAGCATTGACAAAACTATGTCATGTTCCCTAACCTAGCTTATCTCGTTAATAGTATCCGCTACGTAAATCCAACAATCCAACGCGTAGCTTCCGGTCCCGAGAGTCGCACAGAGCAGGTATACGACGTATTGCGTTCAGGATATTCCTTCGCTAAGGATCTCGTGAAAGGGAAGAGGAAAAGGAGGGTGGGGGAGCGAAATGTGGTATTTTGTCGGTACTCGACTATCATCATTTTCTTTTTTGGAGCTTTGGCACGGTTGTTTTTGCAGTTGGCTGTTATGCGCTATGGTAGTTTTCGAAGAGTAGTGCAAGGCCCGCTGGCGTTTGAACAGATGGAAGCGCGGAAATTGAAACGCATGACCCTTGGTTTTCGAGTTCCCGAGCATTCACTTCACGTGGTTCCGACCTGTGGGTAATATAGACTGTGCAACGAACTCCAAGAACGGCATTGCATTTCGCGTGCTTAGGTTCATCCGCAATTTAGCGGGTTCTAACGGAATATTTGTTTGGACAGCGTTTATTCTGATGGGAAGCCTCGTCTAAGAATATAAGAATTAAAGATTTAAGATAAAGGTGGGGAAGCTATGGTAGTTTCTGCAAAGACAAAATATCCGTTGGTAAAAAAGTGTGACTTCTCGCGGAATGTTATACTGATTTCCACCTTTATGTGATGAGTTAAAATATGTCTCACAATTTTATTCTTTTCTATTTTTTATTCTTTTTGCTCTCTATTTGGTTTCAGGTGGTCTAAGAAAATAATAAATCTACACCAGCTCGCGTGCGCCATTACTGTCTTATCGCTAAAATACGTGCATGCGTACTTAAGCTATGGTGCTTGTTATTTGAAGCATCTGCACAAATGATTCAGATGCAAAATCAAAAAGACATATTTTTTCTTCCTACTGTGACAACCAAATATTGTAGGAGCTACATGACGCAGCTTATGATATATGAGCAAAGCTTCTTTATTTTTTTTAGGTGACGACAACAAAGACTAATAAAAATATATCAAATATAAGGAAAGAAAGTGGTTGTTTCGGAAAGCAAACGAGCTAGAACCATTCTTTTCAATATAAAACATGTGTCATGAATTCGTGCGTCTACCTATGCATGGAGCTGTTAACTCAATCATCAAGAGCTGCAGCAAGCGGTACGTTTCTTCAATTATCCGTGGCTTCAAAAGAGGTGACTGGCCCGTATAAGTACCTTGTTAAAGGTGACTTACGCATCACTAAATAAATTATTTGATTTGCCCTGAACGATGGTTTCTATCAAGAATGAGTCTGGTCATCTAATATTTTACTTTTACGCGTGCTTTAAGATGTACAGTGACGCAGAAACGAAATAGCTTCAAGCGAGCAGGCGCTCTCACCCCTTCAATCAGACCATGCTGAGAAGACGCGGATGATAACGGCAGCTTCTTTGCGTTGATGGGCTACCCCCTGTCTGCTTCACATGGACGAGCTCTGACGTCGGAACTAGTACGAAGGAAAACCGCCAGGATAGCGTTCCTAAGAAAACAAATTCTCGCTCGCTCGGAGCTATTTAGTTTCTGCGTTTCTGAAGTTTCGAGGAGCCGTCACGTTTTGTTCAGATATGCAAGTTAATGGGATCTCAACATGATCGGCGGCATTGAGTGGAACTTTGCCATATATTCCTTGTCTGGTCTCCGCTAAGACTAATGGACGAAATAAAGATATTTGAACCTGCCAATCTGTTTTTCTTTGCAAAACAAAACAAGCAATGCTTCAAAATATTTAAGTATTAAGTGACTGAAACTTCTTAATGTAAACGCTTTAGTTGTGCAGTCAAATAAACTTTATTTTAATATCACTAAACATTTTTTCGATGATGTTTGCAGGCAGTCTTCACTTCCTTTGTTTAATGGTATTATTAATGGCTAAATTAGAGGAAAAATTTGTTATGCATCTTCTACTTAAAACGAGTAAATGATTAAATGGAACCAATCTGCTTTGTGGATGGGTCATAATAACTGTTTTATGGCTTGAGTTAGACATGGCTGCTAATGATTATTTTGCCTGGGTGTTTTCAAAAAAAGCAACTGTCTTGTTTCCCCTTTGATAAGGTCCTCGAGCCAGGAATACAGTTGACTGATAAGGGTCTTTCAAGTACACAGACATCACTCTGGGAAAGACTGATTTACACACCAAAATGTCTCTTTTGCTATTTATCTTGATTGTTCTTTTTGGCTGGATTTCTCCTAAGGATACACGTCCAAGCATGCATCGTCGATACATCTTAAAATAGAAAGCACTCTCTTAAAGCGCGAGTGTACATAAAAAAAGGCTGGTAAATCCTTCAGAGGTGGCATGAAGATTTATGAGACTTGGCATACTAGAACTCCAGAATTGCAAAACAATATACATGCTAGAGACCAAAAGCAATCTTTTATCTGAAATCTGTCAGCTTTTCTTCTGAGATTACTTCATCAAGGGAGGTTGAACGGGGTATCGCGTGAGCTGTCAACAAATAAGTTCGATATTCGTCTTGCTTGATGGTCTTCTACACTCTACAACAACAACAAAAACATCTGAGTGTACTTTCTTGCACAACAGTTAGACAACGAATCACAAAAAAAAAAACAAGCGAATGACAAAAAAAAAAAAAAGACATGCAATGCGCTGATAAAAAACGAGCATGGCGTTTACCTTGTCCATTCAAGTCGCATTTTTGTTGAAATGTAGTCGCGGAGCTTTCTTATTCACTAGAAGTCTTTTAGTGTTCACTATGATTGGTGGCCTTGTTCGTGTTGTGCGGAAAATCGAATTCATACTTTGTTTAGTGCGTAAATAACTCCGTTTCCAACAAGAATAGCACATCCTTTACAGTCGTCATTCTGAATCTCCCGCGAGCGGCAACACTTTTGCCATCAGCTCGCTCGGTATCTGTCCTCTGAAGGCATTGTCCTCAGTTTAATTAGAGACGCGTGCACGCCACAGCCAGATAATGTCTTCTTACGTGGAGCGCGAGTTTAAATTTTTCGCCCGTTCCTGCCGACTGTTCGGATGCCTCTTCGTTTCCAACTCTTGGAGCGGTCGCTTTGCCGAGTTCCGACCAAAATTTCGCTCCTGGTACTCGCTGTACTTTGGTTTTCTAGGCGTTGTGGGTTGTGGCTTCGAGATCATCCTTCTTCATCGTCGGATATCCTACATCTATATGCGCGAAAAAGACTTCTCGGAACTTCTCTTTATGATAATACACATCGTGATTGGTCTCAACATTGCGACCAACACTTTAGTGTTCATTCTGGGCACCGAAAGGCTCATCGATATTCTGCGTTCCACCAAACGCCTGGAAGGAGCGATGGGGTTTGAACCAGCTATATCGAGCCGCGTTGACGACGCCAAAAAACTCTTCAAGACGTTCTTGTTCGTCGTTTTCCAGGCAGCTTTTGTCTTGTCTCGACTGGCTTCAAGCAAGGAAATTTTCGAAGAGCCTTCCACCGCGATCACCGTAATCGTAACGATCTGCTTTAGTTTTAGCAGCGTCGGATACGCGATCCACGGCACGGTGGCTCTGAACGCGAACATGTTTTTCTACTCGGTACTTTCAGAGTATCTGAAGCCTCAGGTCGCCATTATCGAGACCTTGTCGTCGCAGATTTTGACACGGAATCCTCGATACACGGCGAAAATACTGGAACGAACACGACTGCACTTCGTATCGATCAGGAACATAGTTCGGGCGGTGGACCGACTGTTTGAGTGGGGTCTGGTGGTCTCTTTCCTAACCTGCGCCTTCACTCTTTGCTTCACGTTGTACTCGCTGTTCGACGCTTCCACGTCCTGGAGCAAGATGTACATCTACATAATTTATTCCGTCAACTCTAGCGCGAACATTTCCGAGTTGACGCACGCAGCATTCAGGATGAAGCAGCAAGCCCTCCACATCAAGCACGTGCTAGAAAAGACACCTCTGGTCAATCTCCCAAGACGACTCGTACTTCAAGTAAGCTTTCTCGACATTTTGGCGAGACAAAAGTGCATTCACTGACAGCTTAAAAAAACACATGACGTGGTTGCTTATGTTCTCGAGGTTTGCGTCGTGATACCTTAAATTTGCGGTATTTTTTATCGGCATTTTGCGGTGCGTTTTGATAGGATGATTGGGGCTCTTGTATCACCCGGAGTTTTCCGAGCTGTCGGCGACTAAAGTACGACCACCCTGAAACCTTCCTATCTTATTTATGCGCCACACCGTACCTTGGTATATGTACACGTAGTGCTCAAGGACGACTCTAAAAAATAAAAATAACAACAACGTCTGAGAGTTTATTTTCCTGCAGAACAGAAAGACAAACAATCACGGAGAACTATGCCAGCACTCCAGCTCGAAACTTACGATACGATTATATATTTTTCAAAATAGAATGTGCGTAAGAAAATTCAGCGAGGAAAACGTCCTTCTCGTGGTCACTGCCCATGCATCGTATTTTTAGGGGGTCTAATATCGCATTCCGAGCTTAGCCATTGGCTCTGATATGTCTGTTGTTCACCTTGACTGGCTGCCTCAATGTTATACAGGAAAGATAACTCGCATACCTTCATCTATAATGCAGAGTGTACACCTGCCCAAGATTAGGATACCAAGTCGCATCACAGAAGGTTTGATTTTATCGCGTTATTAATACGTATATAAACAAATGTGAGATTGCAAATAGTCTTATAGTATAAGACTGAAAATCTAACTTCGGTTCTCTGGCGAAACTGAAAAAGCGCTCGAAATAATTGTGAATAAAAATAAACTTAAATACAACAACATGAAAATGATTTATTGAAGGACTATTTTTATCGAATAATGTTTTGGCTATGGAGCTTGGTCTTGACCCTAGACCCTGCGCCTGAAACAGGCGCAGGAAACATTAAACGAGGCGAACCGCTGCTCTGCATGTAGATTATACTCTCCTCGAAGCATGTACCGCTAGAAATAAGTATTGACCAAGTCGGAGTCAAAATTATCTTTACAAAAGCTAGAACACAACGCTTTTTTGTATAGAGCATATCTATACTATGTGCATTACCAAGCCACTGCTTATTTTGTTCATACTCCAAGTTTCCTTACCCAAACACCAATCACTCAAATGAGCACCACCGTATCTTAAACCAGCTAAAATTTTGTCATTCATCACTGTACACTTTGTTTCTTCATGTTTTCTTTTTTTTGCAGGTCGAGTTTTTTGCGGAAAATATTGAAGCGGAGCAGCTTTGCGTAACAGGATCGGGTTTTTTCACGGTGGACAAGCCGGTGCTGACATCGGTGAGACTACGTTTTAAAAGAGTTATATACACGCAAGACAAAGAAACTGTGTACGGTTCTTTTTGGGCCCTCTGGAATGCCGATCGCCTCTCGCTCTTTTTTGGTGACGGACAGCCTGAGAAACGCCGGGCGCGGCGATCTCCGTGCTTCTCATTGGTCGCTCCGCAGTTGATGAAATTGCCGCGTGAGCAAATAAGTACGCCAATGAACCAATCAAAATGCAAAAAGAGACCGTAAACAACGCCCGGAGTTCCTAAGCCTGTCATTAACCATAGAAGACCTTATTTTATGTGTATATATATTATACATGTTGAATTAAACCTTCCAAGTTTGTTTGACCCTCGGTGGCTTCTACTTCTATATATATATATATATATATATATATATAGAACGCTTTTTATTCTTACACATTTGTTTAAAAAGAGGCGTGAAGGCTACACTAATGCGGTTTGTGCAGGTGGGTTATACGGCCAGGCGAACACTATGTGGGTGGCTAATTTTTGGGACAAGTCGGCTAATTAATTAAAATTCGTTAATTAACTTTTTAATTAGTGGAAATAGACATATGGTTCCAATTAGAAACTTGCTGAGCGTCATCGAAACCACTATATCAGCCATTTTCAGAAAGACTTTCAGCGCGTGAGAAGCGTAGTAGTGCACTAGAGTTACCACTTGTGGAGCAGGTACAAGGCTAGTGGTTACGGAACGCGATAATAATCTAATCATCCGCGTTCCACAACTGCTAGCCTTGTACATGCTCCACGAGTGGTAACTTTAGTGCGCTACTACGCTTCTCACGCTCTGAAAGTTTTTCTGGAAATGACTGATTTAGGAGTTTTGGTTGACGCTCATCAAGTTTCTAATTGGAACCATATGTCTATTTTCACTAATTAAAAAGTTAATTAACGAATTTTAATTAATTAGTCTACTTGTCCCGGAGATTAGCCACCCACATAATGTCCGCCTGGCCGTACAACCCACCTGCACAAACCGCATTATTGTAGCTTTCACGTTTTTTTTTTAAACAAATCTGTAAGAATAAAAAAAAAACCTGCATATATATATAAATATATACGCCACTTTTTGATTGCCCTTTTTTTCCGTTATAGATCGCTGCCCTCATTTTCACTTATTCGCTGCTCTTGGTCCAGACACGTGGGTTTGCCTCGCCGGAAAAGCGACATCCGAAACCTATCATTTGAAAGCTTCGGTCCCATAAATAATATTGTAAAACCTCGCTAACGTAGGTTATTAGAGAATGAATAAACGTTACGAATTCATGTGTTTTCTTTTCCTTTTAATTTTTGTTTTACTAACCATCTGCCGCTCTGTTGATGCCAACTCACGGTAACCCCTGACAGACGCATTATGTTAGAACGACAAGACCAACAAGTAATGCGCTCCTATCTGAAAAACAAGGAGCGCGAGTATGATCCAAGTTATAAATAATTTAGCATACAATGCGTTTTCTAATAAAAACCTCGATTTTTCAAACAGTCACAACACCGAAGTTGGTGTTGGTGTCCGGTTTTAATTGGTCACGTTACGGCGGCACTTTATTAGTACCGAAACCAACATATGGCAGGTCGAATAGAAATATGAAGCTCCTCAGAAACTCGGTACTTAAATTGTGACGACGAACATTGCATAGAAGGGAAAAGCAAATGTTTAAATCACGCAACAATAATAATAAAAAAAGAAACTCCAACCGTTAAAAATTAAAAGAAGAAACCCCAAGAGTATCTTGGATAGCCAACTATGAAACAAGTGGGACATAAAAAAAAAGTGAGTTGTTCATTGCATACTTACTGATGCATATCAGACAAACAGAAGGCGGAGTTAGCCAATAAGGACGCCGCTGGGGAACGCTTAACGAAGAAAGCTACCAGCGCTGGACCCCCAACTCCCCCCACCCCCATCTCCCGGTGCCCGGTATTTCATACACAAACTCATGTTTACAAACAAACCGGAACGATTCTAGCGGACGCCACCGGCGGCGCGCATGCGCGATGGGGGTGCGGGCGAGAAGCTCGCCGTCGCGCATAAACAAACCATTGAAATGCGGTGTTGTCGGCGTCGGTGTGAGTCCCCCTGCCCTTTTTCGCGTTCGAATTGTTGATTCTACCAGGCACGTAGTCAGGGGGGGGGGGGGGGGCATGGGGCCCGCCCCCCCCCCCTCCGAAATCTTCCATTTTGCTAGGACCTCCTCTCCCCCCTCCCCCTCATACAGCATTTTGTCATGGGTGCCCCCCCCCCCCCCCCCCTGAAACAAAATCCTGGCTTCTTGCCTGGATTCTACGTCTTCCTGGCAATGTCTGGCTACTTGAGCGACCTCAGCGAAATTACCGAGGCTCGTTACACCGCAAAACTTCGCGTGAATAATGTGAAATGCGGCGATTCATTCCGCGTGGACGCCGCAGAATGTACCCTGATTTGCATGATGAGATTTTGCTCGCAATTTTCAGTCGCGACGTCGCTCGGGCTGCAAAAGCGTGAACCATAGCTGAGATGGTCGACGTCGATACTGAAAATCGCGAGCAGAATCGGACCAAGTGAATCAGGCATAACAAGTTGGTGATGGCCACTGGTAACAATGAACAACATCTTCTTGTGTCTACTGTTTATTTCGAGCTTGCTTACCAACCTTCAAGTTTTAGTCTTTTGAGGCCTGCCCTTACTTTTTATCGCAAGTACCGGGCCCACATTTGGTCTACGGGCCGGTGTTATTTAAAAGAGCAGACGACAAGCAGAAGCGTTTGAAAGAGCAGACAGTTCGAACGATCAGGCGGCCGTTCGAACTTGAAGACGCACTGAACGTAGTGCGCAGGTGGTTCGTACAACTTGACGGTTTTCCGGCGTTCATGTTGGAACAAAACAAATAAATCTGATGACCACAAGTATTCGTGAATTCAACCTAAAGTGCTTCCCTCCCAAGCAATCGTGTTCCGACGGCGTCTGGTTTTCCATTTTCACGGCACATATCCACGTTCTCGGACGAACTGAGCACATGAAAACTGATCTTCGAACGTTTCTTGAATCTTTTGGTACAGCCCCAGTCGCGGCGTTTTGACGAGAAGGCACGTTTTTGTCAGATTCTTTTCAAAACAACGCAGGAATACACGTCTCACATGGGGCCTTCCGCCACAGCATCAGACCGGAAGTGCGCCCGACGCGCCACCACCGCGCCTTGACGTAACAGAGATGAGTTCGTGTATAGACCTTTTCACGCTCCGCCGCATGGGCGCTGCCATTTTGGCATCACGTGATGCGGCCGCCATTAGGTTGCTTCAACTCGTCGCTCCGCTCTCCCCTCCGCGATACTCCGCGCCTTGGCGGATGCGTTGAATTCGCGTTTTTCGTCGCGTTTCACAGCATTTCTTACCCTTCTGCGTAAAGTGTTATCCGATACTTATATTTACTACGTAATTCCACTACATCATTGTGTGCACAACTTCTGCAGTTAATTTTGTAACACATTTTACTATTTTTACCGTCGGCGTGCCGGCTACGCGTGAATTGAGGCTGTATGGGCACATGAATCAGCGTTAGCGCTCACGCACATTCAGCACATATATGACTAAGACAGCACAAGGGGTTCAAAGGTCAAAACTTACCAGAACTGAAGTTTGCTTACTAATAGTGGCAAAACATTCGCAACAGGAAGCGCAATGTAAGTATATTATGATCGCGCTTTTGGGATCTCAAGGACGGTGACAAAATACTCAGTGCAAATAACCACGTGTGTTTCCTGAGAAAGCATCATGTTTTGTATTCATAACACTTCGAAAGCAGTGGCTTTTGATTATATGGGTGAACTCTTGGACAAGGAAATAAACGTTCAATTTTAATTTTTTTTCTTCTAATATTAGAAATAATGGTACGTCAACATCAGGGCAATTCATTTGTTTACAATATTACACCTACATCTGTTTGACGTTTTTAGTCGTTTTTCTTTTTTTTTGCGATATAAACATTCCCTTGGTCGGTCTATCTATGAATTTCAAGAAGCTGTATGCCGTTAATTAGTCCCATGTCTAGAGTATTTTAATTGCTTAAATGACATTCATCAGATAACCAGTCCAATTCAATTAACTCATTTCAACACAAAGGTTGGGACTCCCCGCGTAAGAAACTGACACAGGCAGCTGAGAGTGCCTGGGGTCCACAAAACGTGACGCCGAAAAGAAACCGTCTGCATGAAAATCGCCCGAGTGCAGCGTTGTGGACGGCAAATAGGGATTCACTTTTAGTAGCTGGCGACGCCGAAATCTACAAAGCGCGTCGGTCCAAACCAGTAAAGAGCTTTCTACACAGGTCCATGCGGTGCCTAGCACTCGACTTCAATCAAGGTTACAGGGGGTCACTTCTTTTGCGCTCTTTAGTTTAATCTGTCAAAATTTACGGAAGATGAATGTCAGGCTTCATTTAAGGGGCCTGTCACTTATCTCATACCTTGAGAACGTCGTAAGCAAATGTCCAAATCACAAATCATAAGGCCAATATTGTGAAATCCAGTTAATGAGTAATTAGTTAATTAAATTCTCTAGTCGGCCTGGGTTGGTCTATTTAAATATTTCTCGGAAACTTAATTTAAATAAATAAAGCAGACCGAGAGAATGAGACTTATTTTTTTTTATGTATTGTGTATACGTCATTATAGGAGACTTTTCCAATCTGCGAAGTTCACAAAACGTTGGTGTACGAATCCCAGACATCGAGCACTAAACTTGTCACTTCATGTGCTATTCGTGGTTCAGCGCATTACCATTCATGTTGTGGAGCTGCTTCTTCACTAAGCACTAATGCATTATAGTCTGTTACAATAGAAAGTTTTAGAAGATCGTGTTTTCAATTCCACGCTATTTGCAGCGTGAGCTCGCGCTGCCACTTCGATGCATGCTGTGAAGCGCGCGCCCGTAGCGGTAGTGGGCATTTGAAAACTATGTACTAAAACTGATTAATATAATGGCTGATTCACACATTTGCAAAGGTTGCGTTCGCATGCAACCGAAATGACAAAAGCGACCAAAACACCGGAACAACCGTGACTCATGGATTACTTCACGAAGCTACCCCTTGCATTGCTTGCCACGCTGTGTACGGCGAACACTTGTCTTGGCGACTCTGTCGTAATGGTCGTTTCAGTTGCATGCGAACGCAACCGAGCCAATGTGTGAAGCAGCCTTTAAATGAGCGGTCGAATATCTGATTTGAGCGCGAGCCGTTCCACAGCACTCGGTGCACGCGTAGCCAAAGCTCGGCGGCAGGCAAAAAGCGCGTGCTGAGGCGAAGCTTGTCCTGTCTTTACTTATTTATTTTTCTGGAAACTAGTGTTTATGGTTACGACCGTGGGCGATGGTACTCCTCCCTGTGCACCAGCGCAGTTGTTTCACCGCCGGAAACCTGGCCGAAATTAACGATTGACGTAACCAGACGCATCTGGTGTTCGTGAAAGTGCTCGCCGATTTTGGCTGAAACCAATTTGTGGTTCCCTAAGCGCCTCAGTGCCATTCTTCCATTCGCTGTATGCGACAATAAAGAAATTTGTATTACAAAATTAAGCGAAAATGGCGTGAAACAGCAACACAATCGCGTGCACGTCTAAACCGAAACCAACCAAATTGAAGCAACCCCATGGCGGCGAGTGCGCCAGCGCCCTCTACCCGACGGTCAGGCAACTACTGAAATGAAAAGGTCTATACAACTAAATCAATCCCCCTCGCACTCCATCCGACATGACCCACCACCTCCGCTCCTATAAAATTATTTCTATCTCCCCCCCTCAATCTCCCCCTCTCCCCCCCCCCCCCCCCCCCCCCCTTTGAGAGCCAGTGACCAACGCGCCCGGTGCGCATCCGCTATTGGCCCTCTCTCTCTCCCCCCCCCCCCCCCCATATTCATTCACAAGTACAAAAAAAAAAAAAAAACAAGAAGAACTTTCTTTTAGAGCAATATTGACGGCGAGAGATTTATTTGACATTCTGCGCGCGAAGTCCATGACGTCACTGGTCGTTCCGGAATGACCATCTCGTGGCGAATTCCACTTGTCGTTTTGGAGCGCGTCGGGATCGACTTTTCTGGAGCGAGCCTATTTCACAGGGATATCGGGATCGAAACGGACGTGTTCAACTGGTCGTTTTGGATTAGCTCCCGCTCCAGATCTTGATCTGGATCCAAGAAAAGTCGCTCCGACGATTTCGGC